TGTTGCCTAAGATCTCAGCAATTACAGCATATTTTTAAATAACTCTTTTTTTAATAAAAAGCCCTACACTTACCTCACGCTTTAGGCTATATATTTTCACGCCGTTAAACTTAGGGGTATATATTTTGGATAAAAACCCTAACGTAGAAAAGAGACCATAAGTTGTTGTCAACATCAAGGAAGCAAGGTTGCCATGGTTTGACATGTCATGTCACTGACATTTGCAATTGATAATTTGACAAATGTAAACAATAATATAAAATTTTCATAATTTTATGCGGATGAAGCCGCACGGGAACAGCTAGTTCTGTAGTATTGCTTATAAACATTTTATTTTATTCTCCTATGATATTAAAACAATATTTTCATTTTACCAGAACTCGTAAGTTCTAATTAAGTAGAGAATTTATTAAAGCGACTCGTGTCGTTGAAAAATTCATTAATTTTGAACCGCGATGACATTTCCTTAAAGCGTTTGAATAATGACACCCTAAACTTCCTTATATTAAAACGCACTGAAATGATAAGATTAAAAAAAATACGTCTTTGCAAATAACGATGGAAAAATATTGTGTCGTTTGAAAGAGGGCGGGAAAATATTATCGTATGACAATTATGTCAAGTGAAAACAAAATGTACAAATTAACATAGAGTTTAAAATATTAACTGAGAATTTACAGTTGTAAAAAATATCTTACCACCTATTATAATTAAAAAGGGCAAAAAAAGCAAAAAAAACTCATCAAAAGTTATTTAATATGTTCATGTCATATTAAACACATTTTCACATTTTCCCTGCATAAGCCTATAAATCTATATTCTAGACTAACTAGGTCTTTCAATAGACACTAGACTGATATTACCTGTAAGGCGATGACGTTAGTTGATTAATTATGCACACAGTTTTAGCTCCATACGAACGCTTCAGGAAGTTGCGAGCTATTGAAATAAATTATTCAACATCCTTTATTGGCTCTGAACGGACGGTATTACGGAAACTTCACGTGTCTTATATCCTGATTGAATATAGTATAGTTCAGTTAACGTAATAGGAAGTTAGAATTGAAAATAATAGAATTAAAAGTACAGTCAGCTGCATCAAACATCTATCCATTGACTAAATTATGTATTAAACTCTTCTCGTGAGAAAGTCATAATATACAACGCAACAATATTACGGGTTGATTTATTTAAAATTAGCGATTGTCTAGCTCCCTTACCGCTCTCTAGTACCCCAAGAATGTTTTATCTCAGTAGTAATTCGCGTTCGGTTTATAAAATTTATATGAAGGTATTTTTATGTTAGTAACATGAATTTGGTATAGATGTAGAGGAGAGTCAGGAAGAACATATAGGCTACTCACTTTTGTTTTTTTTTTTAATTCCACGCGGACGGAGTCGAGTGCGTAAGATAATATGTCATAAAATTTAGGCTACAGATGTCACAGTTCATGAAACAATAGATAGAGAAAATAAAGCTAAATACAATTTTTTAAACAAAAAATATCGAAGGTAGAGAGCCAAAAATTTACACTGTAATTTTACTTTAATTAACTATAAAAATGCAATATAAGTTTCCGTTTAAAATTATATTTCGTAAAAATATGTTAAACTCACACACACACACACACACACACACACGCGCGCGCGCGCACACACACAAGCTACTCTAAAGTATCTAGAATCAACATTACAAAAAGAAAACACTTCAGCCACTACATTACGGTGAAATTTTAATTTTTTAATTCAATTTAATATGAAAATGTGGAGAGAGAGGTAATTAACAGATATGAACAGGAAAAACGTTCGTGACTTGGAAATTCTTAAAACCCAAGCCTACTACAGTAATCCTATTAAGTGCTAGTGATGTGCGTACATGAATAATAGTTGTCGATAATATTTTTTACATCGTATCATACTAATATTATAAATGCGAAAGTTTAGATGGATGGATGTTTGTTAGATAGTCTAAACGGCTGAACGGATTTCAATTAGATTTGGTACAGATGTAGAATGTCTGAAAAAACACATAGGCTACTTGCTGTTTTTGTAAGCTAGAAAACATAAATGTAAGTTTTATTGAACGAAATACAAAATGTAAGTTCAAATTTTAAGGATTTACAAACAAGCAATCATTCTCAATATAAAATAACACCAACGTTATCCGCAACGATTCAAATTCATTTCACTATTGACCGAAAAAATTATAGGCCATTCCAAACGGACTCTTGCCGTCCAGATTGATAAAATATTTTAAAGAATAGAGAAGCACTTTAAACTGATGTGCATGTATGTAGATGTATGAATGGTAGAATCAAGAGAGGTATGTTAGGACTGTGCCGAATAGAAGTGTGGTCTGCCCACCCCTTTGACTTACGAGCGTGAATTGTTGTTATATGTATATCTTTTTGACCAACTTTCCAAAGAAGGAGGTATACGATTCTGTATATTTTTTGTACTTCTCGTATTTGTGGAATTTATTATTATTAGTAAAAATTTACTAATTAGTAACTTAATATTTTAAATGATATCGATAAACTCGGTATTGACGAGAACGTAACTAGTAAAAAAGCTACCAAAAACTTGGCAAAGTAGAATTCCGACCAATTAATTCCTCAAAAACTGTGAACGAGAGGACAGGAGCGTTCGGGATGTGCCGGGGGAGGGGAGGAAGAGGGGACGTTTTAATATCGGTTTACGACGTTCATAGCCGCGTCTGCTAAAAACTGTTCCGACAAAAAGATGTTTTCAAGTTACGCAAATATGACATCTATGAACAAAGAAATAAGAACCATATTTTTACGAGTTGACCGGTTTAGTAATAAATCAAATCGTAATTCTTTTTTTTGTCTCAGACATCAAAAATCAATCATTAATTCTATTGTATAAAATTAATTTATCTTTCTTTGACTTCAAAAGGAAAGACTGAAAAGTATAATTATTTTAAAGTCTCATTAAACAAAATATACTTAAGAAAATTAACTAGTTTTGCTATAACGTAGAACTCCGTTGTAACTAAAATAAAATACTCCTGTTTGGTAACTAAAAGACTTTAGTCAGTACAGCAACTGTATTCATAAACTGTTTACATACTGGCTTATCTAGAAAATCAAATGGAACCTCATTTTTAAAATTTAAAACATGTTACATAAAATAAAAGCAAAATAAATGAAAACATCTTTAAAGAAAATTTTACAACTGCTTCAAACGAACAGAGCTAATTTTACAAATGGCTTCCGCAAAACCATTTCCTATTTTAATATTTTTACCAAAGAAAATCCCGTTAATTGTCACTTCCTTGCCGATCCCTTTCTAAATTAGCCGAGGGCATTAATTAGGGTATTTGAGGGCTTTTCCAAGGGAATTTCCTTAACAAGTGTTCTTTGCGAACGATCGAGGGGACATAAAAAGTGTAGACAAAAGCTTTATTTTTAAGATCGAGAATCGTAAAGCAAACTGTCAATATAAGGCCTTTAATATGTATGTTGCTTTAAGTTTTCGACCTATAGTTGAGCAAGAAATATACCGGGGCACGTAACCAATGCGCTGCGTTTAGTTGTATCAGAAAATCATACTAATATTTTAATACGAAGGTTAGATGGATGGATGGATGTTTGTAGCCTTAACGGCTGATCGGATTTTAATGAAATTTGGTATTTTAATTCCACGCGGAAGTCGCGGGCGGAAGCTAGTAAAGAAATAAAACATGATGTCACAACTATTGTACAAAATCGTGTGTCATTTGACATCGACAAGAGGGCGCTAGTGAGCATAATTGTGTTTGAAATATGCCCACCGAAAACTTCACCGAAATGGATAAGATATTTAAGTCTAATACTGACTGTATTTTTTGTCTTTTTTGAGATGTCCGTGTACATCAGCCCTTAAAACTATTGTCCGTCTATCGAACTAAAACAATGGACTAGTCCAGTCACGTATCGTTTTAGATATCGAAACCCTGATATAAGATTTAACTTCAAATAGATTAAATCGATATAATTAAGAAAATAAACAAAGGAGTACAATAGAAATGTTTTGTTTTAAAATTGCTACTAAACTTCAATACAAAAACAAATAGATTTTACTAATGCTAAAGTATTTTATTGTTATCTATTGTATAAATGTAAACTAGTACCATTGATAAAATTTACTTTATTTGCTGACAAACTATTTACAATATTTAGTAAAATTGCAAATCGCTAGCTTCACATCTTGCACTCATTCGCGCCTAAATATCATTGTTGTTTTTTTTTTATTCAAATTATGTCTAATCCTTTTTTAGCGGCCAGTGCGACGTTAAATATTCATTTATAATATTTTGCAACTTCAACAATTAAAATTTTACTAAAACTACCTTATAAAAGATGTGAATATTTAATACAAATGTGCATTTCATTTTGTTGTCAGCGCCATCTATGATCAAAAATTGGTTAACCATCTATTGTCCGCGATACTGAAATTTAAAAACAAAAGTATTAATTTAGTCTGTCTTTTCTTAAACTAAGTTTTATATCTCTACTTTTCCAAAAGGTTGGTTCTGGAAACTTCTAAAAAACATCCATCTAATAATAATAATAATAATAATAATAATAATAAAGATTCTTTATTGTCAATCATTGATTGAAGGATCAATATTGCTTTGGCTCCTTAACTAGGAATTCCTGTGTTTAAGGAGCCAATGCCTTCCCTTTCAGTTACCTTTTAACAACAAAAAATAAAATAAAAAAAAAAAACTTAAGTATCGCATGAAACCATACAAAATTAAAGAAAAAATAAACCTACTGTTAATTAGTAATAGTAAACTGAAGTTAAAGATAATGAATCACTTCTTACCCGTCTGTCATGTGTGTTGGTGTGAGTAATTGTATGATTGCGAATGTGTGTATGTGAGATTAAGTAAGTGTGTGAGTGTGTGTGTAATAATTGAAATATTCATCTTTATAAAAAATGTTTTTATTTTTATGTTAATTCTTTATCTCTTGTTTCATGTTTTCGTGCAGCAAAAGCAGATAGAAATGGTAAGTTATTTACTCGTATATAATATAACAACCTATATAGTATAACAATCTTATTGAATAAAAACATATTACTGAGACCTTTTAGATATAAAATCATTGACAATTAAGAGATTAACAAACAGAACACTTTAAAACTGTATTTAGTTACATTTATTTACAATATCAAATTATTTAGTAAAATGAGATATAATTATTAAAAGCGAAATTTTAAGACTTTCGTAGGATTAATATTATTTATTTTTTTAAATTATAATTAAATATCCCAACGCAGTGTTAAAAACAAGTAATTTACTTAATTACTTAAAGGTTTCAAGTAAATTGGTAACATCAGACAATGTACACAAAAGCTTTTTAAGTTATCTTCTATGCATAATTAGTGGTCATTTACATTGCTAATAGTTCGTTATAACATGATTTTACTAGATGTGGCAACTTTTGTTAAAAAACTTTTAAAATCACCTTTAAAATTAATGTGACTGTTTATGTTATAGCGAAATAATCTATTTTGCTTCTCAATATAGATAACAAAATAAAATAATATACATATTCGTTTAATATATTTAGGGCTGTCCCAACACTAACCGATAGAGCCTCAGATAGTTTAAAAATGACGTCACTGTCAGGTAAAACAAAGTCCGATATTTCCATCACATATTTTACACGTTGTTATCAGACAATTTACAATTTGGTGGGACAGACCCTTAAAGTCTCTAGTCAATTTATTTTGTCGTAAATCTATCTATTTAAACGTTTTGCTAGTACGCTCTCCTTATAATGCTTGTCCCTTCCATAAACTTTACATCATACCCCAACTCAAGACAAAGACAAGTTGACAGTTTGAGATTGTCACCGCCCGAGGATGGGCAGAATTAGAATTTTATAGCCATACAACTCGACGAAGAATTATAACTTCTAACTGTTTAATGGTTTTCAATTTTAGATAATTTGTTATTCAAATCGATTGTCTCAAGTTAGCTCAGATTTGTAATAAATTAAACGCGAAAGGGAACATCATATATATTCAATAAATGTTTAAATAACGTATATTCATCCCTTCGTTGTTAAGCAACAGTTTAAAAACAATATTTATAACACAAAATCCCAATATTTAGTACCTTTGGGACAACTATCTCCTACACCTAACTAAAGCGCACTACTTAATCTTTGATTCTTAACCATATACAGAGTGATTCAACATTCGTGACTAAATCCAACTTGACGTTCGAGGCAACTCGCTTTGAGAACGGCCGCAAGTTTCGATGCGAAGCGATAAATGACGTCATGATAGAGACCAAAGAACATCCTATACATGCTACCAGAGAACTGGAGGTTTGGTGTAAGTATACTAAGATGATAATATATGATGATATAGCTTTTGCCCGCGACTGCTTCCGCTTGGAGTAAAAAAAATAGTGAGTAGCCTGTGTTCTTCCAGACTATCTTCTACATCTATGCCAAATTTCATCGAGATCTGTTCAACCGTTTAGGCTACAAACTCTAACAAACATCTATCCATCTAAACTTTCACATTTATAATATAAGTAAGAATTAAAATAGTATAGTATAAAGTAATATTGATCTAATTGAAAATACAGCATCCTGTATTTATATTACTCTATGTGTGTTTTATTAATCATGTCCTTTTCTTTGAAGAGATATAAATAAAAATAACCTAAAAATATTGATTACAGATCCTCCGCTAGTACATTTAGAACCAAAAAACATAACAGTAGTCGAAGGTGCGAAAATTCTACTCAAATGTGAATATGAAAGTAATCCTTCTTCTCTCAATGAAGTTATTTGGTAAGAATTTGCTGCAATTTGTAATCATAGTTAAAATACGCGTATCCAGATACCGTATTCTGTTGACAAAGACCATTTTTTAAGTATTCCCTTTGTAACTGAATCCATAAGTTCGCTGTCGTCTAAAATATTGCGTTCCATTGTATTGTCTATACTATACTAATATAATAAAGCGTACACACTTCTTATTTATGTAGGATTTCAATCTCAGTATATTTTTAATAAAAAGCCCTACAGTTACAAAATAATTTAGGCTGTAAATCACGCTATTAAACTAAGGGAGTAAATGAATTGGAAAAAATGTTATTCGTCTTGCGGAAAAGGGACAAAAACTACACCCCTAAGCAGCAAAGAAGGAAGATTGCTAGTAACGGTAATTGTTATCCAATGTCAACAGCCTTCGTTGTCATTTGTGCATTTAAAATAAGCAATTGTTAAATGTAAACAATAAACTTTGTACTTTCATGCGAATGAAGCCGCACCGAAAGTCTACTTTTAGATGAAACTAACTATTACATTTCGTCCACGTGAAATTATAAGTTTATGTTACTCACCTTTCTAACGTTGAAAATATTTTTTAAAAATCGCCCAGTAGTATTTAAGTTATTTCGATACATACAAAAACACAAATCTTAGTATAGACACTAGTCTACTAAAGACTAATTTATAATATTAGGATAGACTTGCTGTTGTTCGCGACTTTGTCCGCGTGAAATTAAAAAAAAACATGCGTTACGCACAGATAAATGACCTTTCTAACGATGAAAACATTCTTTAAATCGGCCCAATAGTTTTTGAGTTATTTCAAAACAAAAACACAAATCTTTCCTCTTTATATTTGTATAGATAGGTATATGTACCGCAGTTCACGAATAGATTTAACGTCGAAGGTACCGCAACGGTGAGAAACTGAACGTGAACAGTTCCCACTACGAAGGAGGAACGACCGAGCAGCACGCGCTCATCATCGTGTCCTCGCGCGGAGCAGACCTGGGCAACTACAGCTGTCTGCTCGCCAACACGGTGGGGCAGGGCACCACCAACGAGACCATACATGTTAATATTCTATGTAAGTATTAGTTTTTGCATGCCAAGTGTCTTTTACTTACCTAGCGGTCGCCGGCGACTCTGTTCACGCATATAAATGTGTTCCGACTATGTTGTTCATGTTTTTCATCGAGATCCGTTCAGTTTAGATTACACAAACAAACATTCATCCAAACCTTCGCATGTATAATATAAGCAAAGATATAAAGGGAATATATAGACTAGTCATGAACATTTTTTCACTGGTAACTTTTTTTAAAGGTACCATGTTGTCAAGTTTACGCTACCTCATGTCTATGTATTGACATGTCATAAAACATTTTACAGAGTTAAAAATAAGCTGTATCTTTATGTTTTAAATGAACTAAAGAAGATAAAATAAAAACATTTAAATTTAATGACATCTGTTGGCATGTAATTGAAATATAATTTGTGGACCTAATCAATAGATGGCGTTAGTTAGTAATGAAAAATCAGTGTCAACTATGCTTCCTCTATATTGAAATCTCTTTGAATATTAGCGAGATCTTGTTATAAAATTTTCTTAAATGTAATACATTAGGAAGTTTGAGAGTAGCCCCCATAGTAGAGAAAGGAGTAAAAGGTTAGCATGGTATGGGCATGTTATGAGGAGGGATGAATCGCATGTTACAAGGAGAACGTTAGTTATGAGTGTGGAAGGGTACATCGGTAGAGGTAGACCTAGAAAGAGATGGATGGATTGTGTAAAAGGTGACATGATCAAAAAGGGAGTGATGACTGAGATGACGTATGATAGAGTTATGTGGAGGACAAAAACCTGTTGCGCCGACCCTACGGGAGTAGGATAAGGAGATGATGATGATGATGTAATACATGATCTTTGAGTAAGAAGAAGGACGTTAGTTATGAGAGTGGAGGCAGTAGACAGACATGAGCGGATGAGGTGGGAGCGGCAGGAGGACAAAGAGGAAGTGCAGTGTGTGCTGGCGCAGACAAGCCGGGCGTGCGGCTGCAGATGAGCGCGCGCAGCCCGCTGCTGGAGACGGAGCACCGCAACGTGACGCTGAGCTGCGAGGTGGCGTCCGGCAACCCGCCGCTGCTGGACGAGGTCATCTGGTACCTGGATGGAGAAATGCTGAAGCACCTTCCCGAGTGCAATGGAACTAACGGTAGGTGTACAACGAAACAAACTGTTTCTTCAAAATAAGGGGATAATCTTAAAGGATTCCTGGATGTAGATCAGGTTTTATGGACATTAACAAGTCTAGCTGAATTACAACATTGTCAGCTTTTACGGAGTCCGCTTTTTTAGGAAAGATGTATTCGTAATTGTCGTTTGCACTCTATATTCTAAGCATTTTTGCATCTCTTGACTTTCAGCAAGGTCAGTTCTGAAACAATGTAATATCCATCCACATATTGAAGCATTTTAACCTAATCTTTTTGAAATGGCAGAGATAAGAATCTTGTATTTTTTGGATTTCTTCTGTATAAAAGAGCATAGGGATTCTAAGGGGTTACAAATAAAGAGTTATCAAATTTTTGATTACCACATTAATATTTTTAACTAGCTTTCGCCCGCGACTCTGTCCGCCTGGAATAAAAGTCCATGTATGTCTATCCTCTACATATGAGAATCATCTAGATCCGTTTAGCAGTTTAAGTTAACTCTAACAAACATCCATCTAAACTTTCTCAATAAGAGCAGTACATTTTCAATGTTTCTTCTCTAACAGACAGTCTGTGCAACGACGTGGACCCCTCGATGCTGCTGCTGCAGGACACCACGAAGAGTTTCCACGGCAACTACTCCTGCAAGGGCAAGAACGTCGCGGGCTGGGGCGACGAGAGCGCCAAGACTGAGCTGGTCGTCAACTGTAAGTACTTATTTACTAGCTTTCGTCCGCGACTCCGTCCGCGTGCTAATAAATAGAACAAAACTAGCCTATGTGTCCTCTACATCTATGACAAATTTCATCAAGAACTTTTGTTTTATTTTTCTTTTAACAATACAAAACCATAAAAACTAGTTTAAAATATAAAACGCTAAGTAAACCTCAATGGTTTTTCACAATGGCTTCAGTGGCTTGAGTACATAAATATGTGTTCAATAGTTTAGGCTACAAACTAACAAAAATAATCGAATAAAACAACTTGTCGTATGTATGACAATACAATATACATACGTTTTTAGAATTTATACTTGACTAGGTTCCGCCCGCGACTCCGTCCGCGTGGAATTAAAAAAAAATCAAAAGTAAGTAGTACACGTGTTCTTCCAGACTATCCTCTACATCCATACCAAGTTCCATCGAAATCCGTTGAGCAGTTTAGGCTACAAACTCTAACAAACATCCATCTAAACTTCCGCATTTATGATACTAGTGCGCCTTCCCTCCGGGACTCGTGCGTTCTGGTCTCTCGCCAAGGCTGTCCAGGGGAATTTCTGTAAGCCGTCTCTACCTTCTTTG